TTCTCTAAATCTCACCCAACCCTGCAAGAGTAGCTGTGAAAGAACACATTTGTGGGTTGAACAGTGACTGCTTATAAATCTCCTGGATTTGGTTGTAGGGCTGCATGATAAATCATTTGTTAATCAATATTGTGATATTGAATTCACAGTACTGCACTCACAGGCGCTAGAATGTGTCAATGGTGGTTGGTATAGTGTAGTGGGTGACAACTCTGCCCTCTACACTGTAGACTGGGGTTCAATCCCCCGCCTGGGTAAGCACCCTACACTATACCAATAAGAGTCCTTGGGCAAGACTCCTAACACTACCTTCACCAACCTGTGTAAAGTCTGGATAAGAGCATCTGTTAAATGTCGTAAATGTAAATGAGCGCTCTAACCATTCACATTGTTTTTTGTGTCTTGTAATCATTCATACCAACCTCAGATGTTCAGTGGGTGTTTTGATGGATCAGCGATCCACCTAGCGTAGCTGATTTCGGTGCAAATAACGTAGGCCAACTTTTATCACTTGCTTTCACAGGCTTACAGACCAAGGTAGTAGTGGGCAGTATAACAATGTTTTATTGTTATCGTGATAAATTATGTTACAGTATGCTTTTCTAAGCATATCGTGGATGTTCTGAGCACGTAAAGAACACTGATTGACTAAATGTTTCATTACAAAGTGAGCGTCATCAGGCCCATTTTGTTAGATTTTGTGCAATCTGTGGAAATGTGAATAAAAATCAAGTCAGTTTATTAATATCATTTTTATTGTTGTTATTATATATTGTTTTTATATGTGGCACTACAGGTTCGATTTTGTCTGTTCCAACCTATTAAATTTCAGAAAAACTAAATATCCTGATGCATATCATGTATCTAGAAAATGCTTTGAAGTATCATGATATAATATTTTTGCCAAATCACCCGCTCGTAGTCCGAGTTGTATCTCAGTTGCAGTATGTAGCAGTGTTATCACGGTGTGGTATACAGTGCATATTGTGAAGCCCTAGTCCTGAGATTTGAAGCTCGTGAGCAGATTTAAAGCCGACAGACTGTGACCCACGGTCAGCATTCACTTGCTGGAATCACCTTACCATATTACGCTGACAGATGTACACAAACAGCGAAGGTTGCAGGCTGGCCGCTCACATTGGCATGGGACCAAGGTTCAAGGTTGGGGGTGTGTTCAGTGTTTTGTGCTATTGTCTTTCATTTGCTGCTCAGTTTCTTCAGCGTAAATTCTATTACATTGCCTGACAAACATTAACAGAAAACTCGTTTTCTTCAAAATGTTTCAATGCACTTATTTGTTTTCTTTGTCTGTTGGAAGGACAACTTAACATGCTAAAAGTTCAGGTTTATTTTTGAGGAAAATAATATCAAACATGTAACATATTTGTTAAAAAACAGTTAATTAAATGCTAATTAATGAAGTCGTAAATTATCAACTCAGTCCACTATTCAGTTGATGATACTATAGAAAAAGATTAATCAGACGTTCTGTAATAATTAATACAATATCTGCTGACTGTGATCGTCACATCTCCAGAATGCCCATCGTCGCAGTTTTGTACTGCGAAATCACAATGTCATCATGTGTTGTTGCACCTCTAATTAAATACACCACACTATGATTCTCCTTGTGATGTTATCATGTGTTTAAAGGGGAATTAAAAAAAGTTAGTAAAGTAGTTTGATATAAAATGGTACATTTGTAGAGAAACTTACCTACTCAGATTTCTTTTGATACGCTATTCAATTTTATTTATTACCCCTTTTATTTACTATCCAAAATGATCAGTGAACCTACACGTGTCTTCTGTGTTTTTATATGTAATGTTGATGATGGTAACATAGAGGTTTCTGAAAAAAACACATTGCAGTTCATATTAAAACTACCGTAAAACAATGTCTCAGGCCGTGTATTCATAGTCATTATGCATAATAGCTTTCGGAGGCATTAAACTCTTCGGACGTCTGGTTCCTATCACCACAACTATGAACAGTTTTGGCTCAGTTTCTCTAGAGCTGAGCATTTCACACCAAACCTCTCTGAATGACTTGATTTACCTATTTATTTTACTTTGATGATTTAATCTTGTAGAAACAATTGAATAACTGATTCCATTTCCTTTTGATCCACCTTTGAGGAAAAAAAAGCTTCAAAACTTCCTTTTGAAGATAGTTTGGAGTCTCGTGATTATTTCTACAAAACCTGCATTTTGATGAACATCAAGCTGAAGTGAAACATGTTCAAAGTGGCTGTTTTATGCCAACAAAACCTTTGCGGTCATTTTTCTTTCTTAATTGAAAACTATCAGGCGGTAAAGTCAGTTTTCTAGGTAAAGCAGTGTCAGAGACCAAACGTTTGATGGACAGCGTACAGTGTAACTGTATGTGCTGTGCTGTGATTGTAGATGTGAGATGGGTGTGTCAGTGAGCTTTTTCACGCGTGTGTTTGCGGTGTGACCTCAGTGTATTGTTCTGGCCCGTGGGGAGGACAGGAAGTGGAAGATGTGACACGGAGAGGAAGGGGATGCGGGGAGCTGGGTGTGGAAGTGGAAAACAGGAAGCAGGAAGAGGGGCAGATAAGATGGCCGCTGAGATGCCTTCCCTTCCCTTCATCCCCTATGCTTCTTTACTCTCCCTCATCCTCCACTTTCAACCCCCCACAGCCAATCACGTGCCAGATGGCCTCTCAGCTGGCCGTTCCCCCCACAGCGGTCAATATTTCACAGCCCGCAACATTCTTCATCGCATCCAGTTACACTCGCCGACACAGCACAAGCGATCAGCATCACCAGAACCGCTGATTCGCTGTTTGGGGTGAAGATTATGAAATATTAGAATCAGTTAAAATCAATATGTGTATTTGTATAATATCTGTAAAGTTTGGTTGTCACAGTTGCTCAAACATGATTAAAAAATGGAAAAGGAAATGATTAAAATGAACCTCCTTAAAGCAGTTGATGTTGGAATGTTGGAATCAGTTATGATATTCAGTATTCAGCTTTCTGAATTGTTGGGCTGTTACAAATGCTTTATTAAGCTTGATAATGCAATTTAAAGATACATAAACAGTTAAAATGTACAGTCTTGATCAATCAGCAGTTACATGTGTGTATTCAGAGTATTTTTAAAAAGAGAGCTCAGTGCACTAAAATAATCTAATCGAACTGTGGATCAATCTGAGCTTTCATGATTCACTGAATCATTTTCTAAAGAATCATGATCGAATCACTGTGAGGTCAGAGATTTACAATTATTGTCCATGTGCGTTTTTGCTAATACGTGTGCAACGTGTGAATTCATTAGAACTGGACAGCTGAAAGGATGAGCAGGATTAGTTTGACTGTATCTTCTTTTCCTAATTCCTCGTAATCCTGGCGATGTGAATGTTTTCATGCCTCATCGTAGAGCCTGCGCTGGACTGGTGTGTTTACAACTGTGAACTGCTAAACACGTCTCCGTCACCAGATGTGTGTGTGTGTGTGTGTGTGTGTGTGGGTGATGGATGGGGAGCGGTTGTTTTGAAGTGTGACAGAGCTTTCAGGGTTAAAAGGCCACACTCCTGTGATTGATGTGTGATTGAGAAACGAGGGGGGAACAGCTGGGAGGGGGGTGTTGAACCCAAACGGAGCCGTGATGCACTGAAATGAAATTTCTTGGCCAAAACTGAAACTGAATTTCAGGACACACTAGGCCGAGCACAAAAAATGAGTTTTGTATGTATGTATTTTTTGTAATCTATCTCTGTCTGCATTTAAACGAAACTTTATTTAAAAAGTACAAGACAAGAAAAACATTTATTACATTATTAATACATGAATAAATATCCTCATAAGTCACTCATGTTGTCTTCATCTCTGGTTGAACAGAGATGACCGATGCAGGAGTGCTGAGGAAGTTGTGTCTTGATAACCACTATGTCCGATTCTCATTACCACAGAAATGATTTGTAGTGCTAGATTTTGGCCTATTTAAAGACATGGAAGCAGCAAAACTCTTTAGGTATCAAAAAATCCCATCACGTAATACCAAATGTTATCATTGTCAGTGAGCCACCAAGCATGCTTGTTCAAAAATCTAGATCTGCTGATCGGCTGTCTAATTTACATTCTGTTTGCATGTTTTAATGTTAGTGCTACTTGAGTAGTCTGTAATCCGTCATGGTTAGTAAATATACCCACTTTCCACACTTTACATTGAAGAGGGTTTTAGCCATACCCACTTTTGATAGATAGATAGACAGACAGACAGACAGACAGACAGACAGACACTTTAATGATCCCGAAGGAAAGTCAGCAGCCAGTAACAGTCACACAAAACAGGATAGTTATCATAATAAGGATGATGGTTTTGCTTTGTAATTTAAAAGAAAGGATCAGGAAAAAAAGGAAAGTTCAGTCTAGGTATCATAATTCTTGAAAAGTACTGTCACTGAGCTAATGGGCTCTCCATCATGTTGGTCATGTATTTTTATGCTGGTACAGTGCAGTGCAAAAGTCAGGGACCACCCTCTCTATATATAACTATGTAAAGCCTTCTTAACAGCTACTTATCCTTTCAGACTCATAGTGCTGAGTTGTCTTCTCACAGTGGAAGGATGGACAAAATCGCCTGTGGATGTTCTCAGATCTGAATCAAGAGTGGAGCTTGATTTTCTCCTCTCTCTCAAAATTCAAAGCTTTAAGTATTTGAACATTAAGTGTTTATCTGATGGGGACCCTTCTGGTGGTCTACCAGGTCTTGCACAGTCCCATTTTCTCTATAACATCATTTTTTGAACTCCATTTTTAGTAATGTGTGTTTTTTCACTTATTTTCCCTCCAAGTGGTTTATTTTATATCTAATCCCTTCAAAAATAAAAATAAATCCCTCGTGAAAAATAAAATGACTTGTACTTAATGGACCTTTGATGGGAAATTAAATGAAGGCTGGCACAGAGCTGTATTTCTTCTGCACGTGGAATCAGATGAAGTTTATAACTGTGTGTGTTTTTTTTCTGTCAGGTGTGTGTTTGAGGGCGAAACATGCCGCTAGTGAAGAGAAACATCGAGCCCCGGCATCTTTGCCGCGGAGCGCTGCCCGAGGGCATCGGCAGCGAGCTGGAGTGCGTGATGAACAACACACTCTCGGCCATCATTCGCCAGCTCAGCAGCCTCAGTGAGTCCACACACACCTACACACACTCACCTCAACACCTTTGTACCCTGTGAGTGCCAGTTCATAGAAATATTTGTTCTAACTGTAATGATATTGTAATGTTACATGTCACAGTTATCACTCATGATAGCGAGTGAGCTGTAATTTGATAGTAATTATTTTTCACTCGATGCTCATTGAAATGTGGAGAAATAGTGTGGAAAGTGCAGATTCTAAATTGAATTCTAAATAGAAAATTCTAAATAGATGAGGAATGAATTCGGTAAACAAGTACAGTGTTTTTGCTACATTTTTGCGTTATTTCTTTACCTTGAAATAAAAGGAAAAAACAAACTCAAACAGTAGAGAATACATGTTGAATGCAAATATAATTCTGTATGTAACTGACTCTGTAATTACCTGTGTAATTACGTAATTGCAGTTGAATAATACAGCAGGTGAATGAATAGCTTTCAGCATCTAAGGGTTAGTACAGGGGTGCCAAATGAGAACAAACATACTTTGTTACAAGGTTTTGTTCCAACAGCAGCGATAAACATGCTTTATTTTTAATGTAAGTCAATGGAACCAGACTTTTTGGCAAGTCATGTTGGGTCATTTCTTTTGGGCCATATATATATATATATATATATATATATATATATATATATATATAGTATATATATATATGTATATATATACATAACATTGTTAATTTGCTTTTGAAATTATAACCTTTATTTGTATATTGTGTTGTCTGTTTGGCCCTCAGCCCACCACAACTATTGCACTTTTACGTCCCAGCATTAAAAAGTTTGGGCCCCCCTGGGTTAGTGCATTGTTCACTTTTCTCACCTCTAATGTCCATTCATCGGTCTCTATACCCGATAACCACACTACAAAATGTATTTTCCTTCTCCAGTTTTGGCAGCACAGCTCTCCTAAAGTGATTTTGTGAGTGGGTGTTTGTGTGGTGTATTGTAGATGCCTGTAGAGGGAGAGGAGAGGAGAGGAGAGGAGAGGGGCTTTCAGCAGCAGCTGTGTGGGTTAAATATAAATGACTGAGCACAAAGGCTGGGGGGTGGAGGGGTACTCAGAGCCATGGTCACTGTATGTATGTGTATGTGTTAGAGTGGGAGTGTGTGTATGTGAGTGTTTACACTAGAGTGTACTTTGGTGTGGTGTCACAAGTCAGGGACTGGTCAGGTCGCTCTTCCTTCCTGTAAATATTTTTTATGAAACTGTCCTGCCGCCTTTTGTCTTAGTTTGTTGTTATAAATAGCTTCCATTGTTGGTGCTATCATTAATCTCTGTTCTTTAAATACATGCTGGGAGAGTAGAAATACATCTGGACCTGGCGATTCAACTGCATCAGTTTTGAAATGTTAGAGTCGATTATAATGTGCGCTCGTTTTTTGGCGAAAATTGAATTCTCAGGGCTCCCAAGTGGCACAGCCCAGCATGGGCCCTGTCGGGAGATCAAAAGTTTGATCCCCAGCGATGTCACAGTCATCTGTAGCTGGGAGTAGTGGTCTGCATTCCCACCATAATACATTGACATGACATTAAATGAAGATAATACGATGGTTATTGTCATTTTTTAACAGAGAAAATACTCACATTTGTGGGTTTCTTTGGTCGCTTGCGCAGCCATCTTGCCGGTTTTTCTGTTTTTTCTCTTACTCCATTTGGCGTGTGCCTCTGAAAAACCTCTGTTTGGAGGGCCAAGTAGCCCTAACACTTCACCCTACCCCTCAATCTCAAAAAAAAATTGGGACACTCTATCCCTAACGCAAATGTGCAAAACGGAGGGCTAAGGGTTAAGTGGTAGGGGCGAGGGGTGAAATGGGATTGGGCCTTAAGCTGCCCTATGGCAGTCTTTTTCCAGGGTGACTAATGCAGATGGACAGCAGTTATACAGGTGTGCAGGCAGGAGTGGGACAAAACGTTTAGGTTGCAGATGGAAGCAGGAAAAACGGTGACGATTTTCAGTGGGAGAGGGAACAAGACTGAAAAATCAGTCCTGGGCAGATATCTAGCCAGTCCAAGTGAGCGTAATTGTTCTCTCTCTGAGTGGGTAAGATAGGCCTCCTTCCCAAAGCGTGATGCCAACCCGGACGTCTGCTAGCTGACATAACAGAATGAGCAGTTAGTGTTTTCGTCCAAGCGTGTTGAGCTGTCAAATAACGATGCCTTAGCATCAGTTCAGAAAGATGCACTTGGTGGCTAGTCTTCACCCTCCCAACACGGCAGCTTTGTGTGATAGAGCAAGACTTAACTAGAGGATGGAATAAATCACGGAAAATATTGGGTTAAAATAAATAAACTAATAATGAAATAAATCCCTCTTGTGCTATTTTTACATTAAAAAACAGAACAAAAAGCTGTGTTGTGGTAGTAATTGTCAATGTTCCACTACTTGAACTTGAACTGAAACTTTTTAAGTCAAAATGCTTTTAAAAAGGTTTTATTTTCTGTTCTGTTTATTTTTGATTGAAAGATTTCCAGCAGAAATTTGGTGTGAAAATTTTGGTGCGTTTGGTGTATTTTTAGATGTATTTAGAAAATAGTTCTGAATTGTACCAAAATAAGTGCTGATGCATCAATATATTCATAAAGAACAGTACTGAGATCCTTGTGAAAAGCTGTGAAATGACTGTAGAAAGCTAACAGGGTGGAGCAGCCCACGTCTGTGAATATTGTACAGTTTGTCTCGTTCTAAAATGTATCTAAAGTGAATACCCTCCTCTTTTCTCCTGTGCTGTAGGTAAGCATGCTGAGGATATATTTGGGGAGCTTTTTAACGAGGCGAACATGTTTTATCTGCGTGCGAACTCCCTGCAGGATCGGATTGACCGCCTGGCCGTCAAGGTCACTCAGCTGGACTCCACGGTGGAGGAGGGTGAGTGTCTTCTGGGAAGCCAAAGCTTCGGGTCACCACTCGATACATTTCGCTGCCAGCTCATTCAATATTATATCTAGAATTACACGCTAGATCAGTGGCGCTGGACGCCCTTAGAAAAAATGCAAATGGTAATTTTTTTCTTTCTGTTCTTTCTCAAACTCAAAGATGATGTGGTAATTAATGCACTTTTACACACACCTGGTGATACAACTTCTCTACATGTCCAAAAGTTTGTACTCTTCTGCTCATCCAGTATTTCTTTTGAAATCAAGGGTATTAATAGGAAGTTTGTCCCCCTTTGCTGCAGTAACAGCCTCTTCTCTTCTGGCAAGGCTTTACACTAGATGTTGGAACATTGCTCTGAGGATTTGATTGCATTCAGCCACAAGAGCATTAGTGAGGTCAGGTACTGATGTTGGATGATCAGTTCTGGATCACTCCAGCTCATCCCAGAGGTATTGGATAGAGCTCCATCACTCCACTGCTCCAGTGCAGGGGGTTTTATACCCTTCTGGCTGACACTTGGCACTGGGCATGGTTGACTTTAGACTCCTGCAGCTGCTCCAAAGCATCCATTTTATTGACAATGCTATAATCCTATGGAGATTATACAAGCTGTGCAATTGAACTGTTGTGTTAGCAAAGGGTGCAACTTGAAATGTACTTAATTGAGGTGTATACTTTTGGATATATAGTGTATTTTATCACATTTTGTGTCAGTAGGGTGACCAATCGTCCTACTTTTCCAGTACGTTTTTTTTTGGGACATCTGGATGGGATTTCGAAATTGCCTAAATTGTCTGGGATTTGGCTTTGCTATGATCACCCGAGTGTCAGGGCCAAAGAACACAGCATATTTCTGACAAAAACTGTTATTAGACCACATCTTTGTGCTAAAAATCTGCAGTAAGTAAGATGAAACACAAAGTAACACAAAATGTGTTAACATTAACTGAAATCACAGAGGGTGGTATGCAAAAGTTTGTGCGGCCCTCGTCAAAGTACTTGTTTATGTTCTATGTGAAAATACATTAACATCCTCTACAGAGAGAACACACACTTCTCCGCACATTTTAATGCACAGTTGTTGTTTATTTGCTGCAGTAAACATAAAAATAACATAAACTGTGGCCTGTGCAAAATGTTATGGCACATTTTATGTTTTGTTTTATTGTTTCCCAATGTGTTAAACTCAGCAGATAGTAAGAAATTGAACATTAACATTTGCAGGAAATTTAAGTTTGTTTGTTTAAGTCATATTTAAGTTTGTTCCCTGTATAGGATGTGTTATCTAATTTTCACTTCAACAAACAACAAATGAACAAAACATGTAATTTGACCGGGGGGTCAAATTATTTAAAACATTTTTACAGGAGCTGTAACCAATCTCTCTCTCTTTCTCTTTTTCTCTTTCTCTCTCTCTCTCTCTCCTTTTCTCCCTTTTTCTCTGTCTTGCTTCTTTACTTCTCTTATTCTCTTTCTCTCTGCATGTGCAGTTTCTCTTCAGGACATTAACATGAGGAAGGCCTTTAAAAGCTCTACTATTCAGGACCAGCAGGTGGTGTCCAAGAGCAGCGTTCCAAACCCTGTGAAAGAGATGTACAACGTCAGCGACAAACCTCCTCCCCTCAACATCCTCTCACCGTACAGGTGAGTCTTACTGGGTGTAACGTGGTCGGAGGTCCCGTTGTGGTCCCTTTCTTTCCATTGATGACGTGAAGGGGGGGGTGATGAATTGTGCAGCAACAGTAACTGCAAACCTACAAAGTGAACCTGTATAAAATGGCCAATGAGTGTAGGTACAAGGAAGGTGTACCAAATAATACACCAACTCCTGGTATGTGAGCGTATTTTCTCATTGCTGCTCACTGGAGGTGTAAAACCTCCAGTGATTTTAAGTGTTATGCATCTCTTGATTCTACATATCTCGAATTATATAGTAGACAGGTTCTGGTTTGGTTCAGATAAATACAACTTAAGTGCCTGTCACACTGGCCCTTTAACAAAGTAAACCTAAAACATTGCAACCTCTTCAAATTCTGGATTAAAAAAATGGAATTTGAGTGTGGGAATGTCCATAGCATAAGCCCTGCCCCTCCTTACCCACTTCACTCTGATAGGAAGCGCACAGATACCTGGTTTCAACCTTGACTGTGATTTCCACGAAAGACAGCAAATGAGAGATGCTCGGAAGAAGCTGAGGGATGTATCAGCCATACAGTCTTAGATTTTGATACGCTGTTTCAAACGTTCATTTCAGTACTGTATTGAATCATTACACAGTGAGGAGACTCTTGTCTTGTCTTGCCTCTTGTCTCTCAAATTCTTATACATTTGGATGTTACTCTAAATCGAATAGAATCTTGTTCAAACCATATACTTTCATACTTGTCAGGCACTTAAAAATGGGAAACAAAACAGCATAGCTTGAAAGTAAAAGATGGAATTCAACATCTGAAGAAATATAGGGCAGCCATGAATATGTAAGCATGGCAAATGTAGTGCATATGCAGGTTTGCTCTTAAAGCACTGAATAGTCATAAATATTTATGCATATCAAACAGAGACTGTGTGGTAGTGACATTCCAAGGGACAACAGTAGCTGTGCAACATATGTTTGTGATTTTTGTGAATAAATAATGGATCACAGTGCACTTAGAAGAAAATAAACTGTCTAGTCATTTTAGTGGGATGATGGCATATATATTAGTAGACAATGTCACAGTATGCTTTTTCTGCTTTTCAATATGCACATTGTGGATATCATCAGTACTTAAAGCTGCTCAAAAATGAAAGAAGTAGCATTGCTGAGACAGGTGGAAAAAGAAAGCATGTTAAAATAGGGTGTGCATGCTCTGCTTCGAGTCACCAAAGAGACGTCCAAAGCCTCTCTAAAGCCTGAAATAATAATTTAGGTCATAAGCGTCGGGATGGATTCCACAGAACTTTTTTGGACCACGTCAGACATCTTTACATATTAATGTCACAAGCACAGAGTCTGAACAAAGGTCTGGATCAATGTTTAGGTGTCAAATGCAAAATCAACATCATACTGATGAAGATATGATGACAGTAGTGGATAATTCACTTGCATCCTCTGAAGACACGTCTTTCACCCAGTTTTAACTGAGTTCTCTTTGAATGCTCTTTCAACACGTTTACAATCATCAGGTTTATCTGCTCGTGGAAGGAGTCTGAAGCACAACCAATGTTACAAAATATTATTCTACACATTGTGTTTAATTACAGTTTTCACTAGAGGGGTCTCCAAATCCCAAATGTTTCATTATAAAGAGAGCATAATTAGTCTGTTTTAATTGATTTTACAAAACACTGAACAAATGTCATCGTATCACAAGTGTCTTAATTAGGGGTGCGGGGAAAAATCGATTCTTAGATGCATCGCGATGCGGACGTGAACGATTCACAAATGTCAAAAATCGATTTTCTAAATATTTAATTTATAACGTATTGTTGACGGAACGTAAAAGGCGGAACTTGGAAGTGGGTAAGTGCAGCGCCCGGACAGTCTGTGGCAGCACATAACAAAAACACAAGTGGATGAGTGAGAAACCGACCGGCTCCCTCTGTGTTAAAGCCAGGTTAGATCAGGAGTCACAACCCAGCCATTTTGTCCTTTCAACAAAAATCAAACCACCTTGGGAGCCACAACATTTAATGTCCAGTATGTTTCAGTATGTGATAATGTCCTAGTATGGGCTAAACAATATAAACAAAAACGCGGACTTACTCTACTCTGCTTTAAGCTTCAGCTATAGCCGCTTTCCTCCCATCTCCGCCAGAAAACTTTTCCTCAGAAGTTGATCAGTTAAATGTCTCTTAACGACTGTTTTACGAGGCTGAAGTCGCTTCTTATTCTCCAGCTTCATGTTCGAATTTACCCGTTCCACCTTAAAATCTTACTGAGGCGCCGAATGTAAATGCGGCACCATTTAAGGTGGAACGGGAGAATTCGAAACAGAAGCGACTTCAGCTTTGCCACTTTTTAGTGTATGACAGTCTCTCATTGCAGATTTAACTTACCAGGAAACCAACTGCGCTGCTTATAAATGCGAATAACGCATCGCTGCTGTGTGACCTGCAGTCCGCACGCCGGTTCTCAGTCGTTGCGAAACAGGGCTTTCGCGCTATGTTGTACACCCCCTGTCTCAAAGATACTTTACTGACACAGCGATCCCCCCCGTCTCTAAAACGAGACCAGAACCGAAGTTATAAAATCACTAAAGAAAACGGGTAGAATAGCTGTAACGTGCTGCGTGGACATCCATCACCACTGGATCTTATTTCACCGTAACTGCGCATTTTATCGCAGATGAGTAGCAGCAGCTTCTCGTGCTCCAAACAAGAGCACTGAATGAGAGCCTTCTAGTTCACTTGCCACATCACTTCCATTTGATTTCTTAAAAAAGATATTGGAAGTAAATTCATTATGGATCGTTACAAATACTTTGCTTTAAAAGTACCAAGTCACTTTAAATAACAACACTGAGTCACTTTAAAATGTATACTGTCTCTATATTCTGTGTATATTTTGTGTATATTTAATATATTTCAGTTGGTTTTTCTTGTATTTTTATTTTTACTTATTTACTTTCTGTAGAGTAATTAGAGTCTCACCACAAGCATTTCAATGCATAAATGTCCTGACCTGTTGTGCAAATGACAAATAAACTTGAAACTTGAACTCGAAACTTGAGCTCACACAGTGAGAGAATATAAATGCTATATAGACAAAAAAGATGCATCGAGATGCATCGATAATCGTTTTATAATCGCATTGTGGCCCTCTGAATCGTAATCGAATCAAATCGTGAGGTGCCTAGAGATTCCCACCCCTAGTCTTAATATTACATTTTTTGCCAGATCACCCACCCTTTGCCTCTAGTCTTAATCATGGTGTTTGGTGACACAAAGAAAAGCTTTAAAAGATTGATCTGAACAGCTTGATTGAAAATCTGATATAAACATGAACTGTTATGCACAAAACAACGAAAATTGCGGAAGTACAGCTGTCCAATGGCATGAAATGGCAATATAATTTCCATTATGTAAGTGTGTGTATGTATGTGTGTGTGTATGTGTGTGTTTTGACCTTTTGATCTTTCTGTCTCTACAGGGATGATAACAAAGAAGGGCTGAAGTTCTACACAGATCCCTCCTACTTCTTTGACTTATGGAAGGAGAAGATGCTGCAGGACACGGAGGATAAGAGGAAAGAAAAAAGACGACAGAAGGTTCAACACTGCTCTTTCTGTTTCCTCTCCTCCCCGCCATATTTCAGCTTTAGATCCTTTTATATTAGGTGGATGCGTTATGTTGACTGCACCTAAATATTAAATGACAAGATATTGTGAAGAAAGATAAAGATATATTTCGAGTTAGTATTTGTATTAACATTTGTAAATGGTAAACTGGGACAGGAGCAAAGGCGTTGTGTGGACGGCACGCTGCAGAGAGAGGTGAAGAAAGTGCGGAAGGCGCGGAACCGCAGGCAGGAGTGGAACATGATGGCCTTCGATAAGGAGCTAAGGCCGGACCACCGGCATACGCACTCACTGCACAGAGGAGCCTCTTCTGAAAGCTCCATGTCACCAGAGAACAGGTAAGAGTGAAAAAGCAATAATGCAATCTAAGCAACAAGTGTTCTACAAAAGTAATCACACCAAATTATTGTAATCACAACATTCTATCAAGTTCAAAAAAATGTGACATTTCATTCTTTTTGCATTTTTTTTTTATTCTTTTAAATTGTGTTAATTTTAACTTTATAAAGCACTTCCATCTCCAGCCAGTAGAGAGTGTGCACTCCCTGCTCTCCTCTGAACTCAGACATCATAACTTTTAAATATATTGTACACTGCATGATGCACACGCATGGAACTTAGATTTTCTCACTGTCTGTGGCATCAATTGTAGGTCCCATGGTCAAGAGCACATGGACCATGGCTATCTAACCATGCCCAACCATGCTGGCCACGCCCACACATACTCTGGCCCTCCACCCGGTATGGCAGCCCTCTCAGCTCACGCCCAGATGGGCATGGAGCAGGACTACAGGGCGGGATCTATGGCCTACCGCTCAGGCACATTGGGCCGCCCGCACCAGGCTCCGCCTCCTCCTCCACACACAGAGACCATGAATGGCTCCATGCCTCTCCCTCATGTGGACTACAGGTTTGTGCTTTTCCTTTTTTTAGGTTCATTCTGAGTGGCTAGTTTTAATCCAGCCACTCATTTAAATCTGACAGCTTCCTGTCCAATACAGATGTACTTAAAACTCAGGCTTCCATGTTTTTGCTGGGGCCCTGTATTGGAAGCTTTATCTGTGGCCTGAAGCTATCAGGACCAGGATCAATCAGGGTCTAAATCAAAGCTAGGAACTGGTTGATTCAGCAGTATAACTTGCACAGTTATCCGAAACATAAACCTAGCTGGGAGCTCCAAAAAATCCATTAATATTATGCAGATCATATATGTCAGTGGAAATGCTGCCACCTTGTGATGAAAATAACAGGGGTGAACACGATGCATCGTCACTGAACTTTTTCAAAACTAGGTCCTGAGTCAGAAAGACTAGATATTTCTCGACAGTAAAAATATTGTATACAGTTAAGATCACAAAAGGGACAGAACAGTTTAATTAGCATTGATTTTTACCTGTTTCCACAGTCTGGATTACATGAATTCAGCACCGCCGCCTCCGCCGCCAGCTCCTCTTATCCCATCAGCCCAAACGGCCTTTGCCATGCCTCCCATGGGCCCTGTTCCACTTCCAGGCCATCCCGGACCAATGGGTGCAGGCACAAGCTACATCCCACCTGCTCCTTCTGGACCAATGGCTGCTCCTCCTCCACCAGGACCCCCGCCTCCTCCCCCCAGCACCACCCAGTCAATCACACCCAAACGGCCATCTGTGCCCAATGAGGCCCAGCCCACTACTGATGCTCGTAGTGACCTGTTGGCTGCTATACGTATGGGTAAGATGTTTTATTTGTGTCAGTCAGTGCAGACAAAGCTGTATAAAGCACAACAGGGTTGTGTTCTCCATAGTGGTCACATAAGAGATGCAGTCATTCCGACAGACTGTAATACACTACACTTAGTAAAAACGGCTGTGTACAGTACCAGAAAACGTTTCTATGACCTGTAACGTTTTTAAAAGCTTTTTTAAAGAACCATATACATAGCTGGTTATTCATTATGTAGAAGAATCTTTTAATGTTTAATAACTTGTCATGGTTCTACATACAGCATATGCTAAAGGTTGAACATCCCCTGATCAGATGACCTGTTTCGTTTATTTTTTAAGTGAAAATGTAAACACATCCTATACACAGAACAAATTTAACTATAACTTTTTTCTGCAAGATTTAGTGCACAATCTACTTACTTGCTGGGTTTTACATGCCCAAATAATAAGAAAACCTTAAATGTGCCATAACATTTGTACAGGCTACATTTTATGTCCAACCCCCTCAATTTTGTTAAATTTAGCAATGTGGTGTACAGAAGTATGTTCTCTGTAGAGGATGTGTTAACTTATTACACCTTGATTTTCTCAGTGAAAATTTGACCAGAGGCACCCAATCGTTCGCACACGACTGTATAACCATCGAAAAAAAACCAATGAAGAACCCCTTCCTTTAAGGGTGTAGAGGAAGTGAAGCAGTGCAGAAAGAACTTTGAAGCCATAATAAGTAATCAGTTTATCATATAATAAGTGCTGTTAGGTTAATTGATTATAGTTGCAGTAGAACTTAAAGCTATGACAACTCATCCACTAAAAAGGTTCCAGGTACTGTAACAAAGTGGACGTACTGTTGAAAATGATATAAATGTATTTGTCCCATGCAGGTATCCAGCTCAAGAAGGTGCAGGAGCAGCAGGAGCAGCAGGCGAAGCGGGAGCCGGTGGGCAACGACGTGGCCACCATTCTGTCCCGTCGCATAGCCGTTGAGTACAGCGACTCTGAAGATGACTCAGAGTTAGAGGACAATGATTGGTCTGACTAGAAAACACTCAAAAAGAACATTTCACATACAGGCACACGCACAGCCTCTCTTCCGTGTACATTAACAGTGCAGTATCTACAGCACCTAGATATAATAAGTGCTTACATATGTGAATAAACGCACATTAGGATGCCTGACCAACAGTTCAGTTAGATGTTAGATAAATAGCAACTTTCCCTTGATGTAAAGCAGCTGACCTTTCCCATTCTTTTCTAATGATTTTTAACAAAATTGCTCTGAATAGGCAATATGGGTGTAGTGAATAGTTAATCAGAGAAATGATTACGATTTGGTCAGAAGATCCACTCTGTGGCCAGTTTTATGAGGCTGGTGGCCTGCAAGAGAATGTAGCTATGCATGGAGAAGTATAGGCCATTTGCTATATAGAGCACATGGGAGCATGCTAAGGTGACTGATCACGCAGTCTTGATTGGTCACGCTCACTCAGCTGTGCTCGATCCATTACGTCTGGAGAAGAGATAACAGAAATGAAGGAATGGACTGGGGGTTGGCATGGTGATGAACGTGTGAACTCTGGTCTCATGAGAATAAACAGACCAAAATGAATCATGTCGCGTCTGTTCCTGGCCGACCGGGCCCTCATCATGGAAGAAGAGACTTGCGGGACTCGTGTCTCTATGGAAACAGTACAGCTGGGATGCGGATCTCCATGGCAACAGTGGAACGGAGGTAGCGAGCCAAGTGATGCACGCGAGTGAATAAACAAGCAGAGGCAGAGAGTTATTTTTAATGCACAGCACATTCTTTTAATACAAAAATTAACAAGATCTCTTAATTCCTTATACTAACCAAAGCAATAAAAAGATAACCACTAACACCTTGGAAAAATATACACCACGTTCACACAAACATCGTACAATGTCTCAGTTAATTAGTGCATGTTGATTATCATTTTTTAATAGTATTTTGCAGATAAGTAACTTTGTTGTGCCATTTCTCATCAAAAAATAAAGTGCATTTCACAGTTAAGACTACGCATACGTCTACACAAGATGCTGTAACTACTGCACCTGCCCCTGTTCCTCAGGTCATTCAAGAGGTCTGGGTCAATGCAATTTCAATTGTAGTCCATTCAGCAACTGTATACCATGAGGAAATTTGCTTGTGAAGATTTCCCCCTAACTCCTAGACTCAAAGCTATGTGCCCTAGGAGTTCTTCTGCTATGCCCTTTAACTAAACTGGATAAGGAGACTTCAGCCATACCAGTCCAATCCAAGCCCTTTTCTCTGGAAATACCATGGATTATGTCCTTTATGACATAACAAGCCATTCTGCAATCAGTTGTGACACCATAAGTCAATCTGCAATCAATTGTGACATCACAAGCCATTCTGCAATCAGTTGTGTCACCGTAAGTCAATCTGCAATCAGTTGTGACATCACAAGTCAATCTGCAATCAGTTGTGACATCACAAGTCATTCTGCAATTGTAAAATCACAAGCTACTCTGCAATTAATTGCAGAGACATCATAAGCTGCTATCAGTTGTGACATCACGAGTCATTCTTCAATCAAATATGACATCACAGCTCAACAAGTCAATCTGTAATCAGTTGACATCACAAGTCATTCTGCAGTTGACATCACAAGCTACTCTGCAATTAATTGTGACATCACAAGCAATTCTTTAATTAAATGACATCACAACTCAAGTCATTCTGCAATCAGCTGTGACATCACAAGTCAGTCTGCAATCAGTTGACATCACAAGTCATTCTGCAATTGTGAGATCACAAGCTACTCTGCAGTCAATTGTGACATAATGAGTCATTCTTTACTTAAATATCACATCACAATTCAACAAGTCAATCTACAATCAATTGTGACACCATAAGTCAATCTGCAATCAGTTGTGACATCACAAGTCATTCTGCCATGAGCATCTAGTGGATTACATTGCACAGTCATCTACGATTGGTTACAGTTCTGTCAAAATAAAAGGAACAACCGGCAAATGTCCATTCACCAAAGCTTCCATCAGTGCCACTAATGCCTTTTGGGCATTAAGCACTTGCTTAAAGTGATGTCATAATATGAATTTTGATTTAATATTATTAACATCACATCGTAGCTTTTATCAAACACTAAAGATTCAACAAAGGTCAGGATGTGGCTTGGAAGCACAGTCCCCATCCCAAACCCTGTGAAGCACTCTCCTCTCCTTGTCTTGCTCGCCTTTGTGCATGTATGGACTGCTGTACATTGATCTTTTGCCCACTCGAGTCAGATACAGATCAGCACTCACAGAGAAAAGGAGACAAGGAAAAGAGGTTATATTGGGTGAACTGGGACATGGCCCAAGGTTAACTGTTCCTAGGAGCACCATGACTATGATGTCACAATGCCTCCCCTATTGTTGCATGCCTTATTTACAGGATCAGTTCGATCGATAATATACCTTAGCAAATAAACAAGTAATTACTATTCCGTTTAGTAATACATTCAGAAGAGGCTGTACAGCGCATCGAAATGCAAGACGGGAATCTCACAAATTCGGGTGGAAACAAGGCAAAGGAACAAAAAATAGAATCTTTCAATTAATATAACAAAATAAATTCATCTTCTTAGCTCACGGAGTTCTCCCTTTTTTGTAGCTCTGTTTTTACACAGAAGCCTGACAAAAGTTTTTCAGTCATCAATGGCGATGCACGCATGTCATACAGAGCCCCACTGGTAATATCCATTCTTAATAATAAAAAAAAGGGTCACCACAAGATACTAAGGCTTGGGAACAGGATCCAAATGGGTTCCCTCAACTTAGAAAGGTGTGGTAATGCCATAGGTAATTCCCAGTCATGATCATGACTTAACTATTTTGTTCCCATGCCTTACAAAGTCATGGCCAGAACTTTCACTAACTTGTTCTTGTGACTTAACCATCTCGTTCCCACACTTTACTAAGTCGTGGCCACCCAAGGTCCTGTTCCCACACCTTATTTAAGAAGGGATGTCACCAGCGGGGCTCCATAGCATCATCATCCTCAACTCAGGATACGATGATGTCACTTTTCTGATCCCCACTGATCACCTGTGCACTGCCAGAATTAGCTCATTTGCAGCTTAATAAAAGAGCCCTACTAAGTTGTGGCCACAACTTACCTATCTCATTCCCCTGTCTTACTAAACTGTGGTCACAACTATCTCGTTCCCTTACTGTAGGAGTGTCCAGTCTTATCTACAAAGGGTCAGTGTGGCTGCAGATCTTCATTCCAAAGAAACACACCTGATTCCACTTCTTTAATCAATTGATTTCAGTCAAACTGTTGATCATGTGATCCTGTCTTGTTGGAATGAAAACCTGCAGTCATACTGGCCCTTAGATAAGAATGGACACACCTGCCTTACTGACCACGACTTACCCATCTTGTTCCCACACCTGACTAAACTGTGGTCACGACTTAACTATCTTTTCCCCCAATTCACAGCCACAGCTTTCCTATCTCATTCCTACGCCTTACTAAGTTGTGGCCACCCATTAAGATCCTGTTCCCACACCTTATTTAAGAAGGTATGTCACCAGAGGGGCTCCATAGCATCATCATCCTCAACTCAGGATATGATGATGTCACTATTCTGATCCCCACTGATCACCTGTGCACTGCCGGAATTAGCTCATTTGCAGCTTAATAAAAGAGGTCACTCAGGTCAAAGGTCACGTGGGTATGTCCTACCTGAAGGCAGAGGGAAGACTGCTAGCCATTTTACCCCATGCAGGTTTTTTGGGGAAGCCACACAGGAGACGCTTCCCACCTGACCACTGTGTCCCTTTAGGTGTGTGTCCGTACAGCTCACAGACTAATCACACTGCATATGTACACACACACAAACACACATGTATGCATGCACGCGCACATGCAACTCATACGCAACAATATGACCACACACACACCCACACACACAACACAGACAGACTACATTAAAGTGTCAAAGGTTCACAACAGCGAATGCACACTGCTGAATAGGTCACATTGAAGGTAAAGTATCAGTTCACTTGTACTGTAGCCTGTATGATCGAGGCTGGGGCACAGAACCGCTTTGCTATTGAATTTCATGGATATGAACATGAGGCAGTGCAATTGCAGGAATTGTAGTGGAACTCCAGGGCTTCGGACAGCTGACATGTCCAGTTCACATTTTTCAAAGTACCGCTCAGAGCCTCTGTTCGGGTTTAGGTTGCAGTGATCTTGTATGTCATTTTCACTCCGAAGAAGGATTTAGAGGCGAATATCTCACAGCTATTTCTGATTATAGAGGTGGACACTTTGCTGGGAAAAGCTGTTATTGCTGCTAGAGTATTGCTATGATTTGGTGAAACGCTCAGAACACAGTTATTGCTGGCTGATGGAGTCTACCGTGGTACTGAAATCGATTGTGGGTACTTGGCATTGTAGAACAGGACTTAGAGAAACAGTCCAAAAATATTGTTTACTACTTTTGAGATTTTTTTTACGGTAAATGTGTGCTTGTAAAGTAAGACAGTGCAAAACAACAGCTCCTATAGACATCTGCAGGACACAGACCTACATCCAGTTTCTGGTTAAAAATGGTCTTATACAGTACTGGGCAAAAGTCAGTGACCCACCCTCTCATTTCTTTTATTTCCAAAGATTTGGTCAAAATGGCTGCTAAGGACAAGTTGTTCATTTTTCAGTGTCAGGAAAAAAGCCTCAACGAATAAATATCAAATTAAAATAAAAATTTTCAGTATTTATTGTGTCTACCTTCCTCTTTAATACGGCTTCCATCTATTTTGGGAGACTTGCTGTCAGTTTTCAGTTTAAAGAAATCTGCAGGGATATTTTTTCACACCTCTAAAGTCTTAAAAGTTGGTTGCACTTTCTGCTTCTCACAATCCAAGTAATCCCAAATACATTCAGAGATGATGATGTCTGGACTCTGGGGTGGTCAGTCCATCCATTCTGAGAACACCAGCAGCTTCTTTGGGTTGTTTTTGTTTTGGGGGGAAAAGTTCTTTTTTTATCTATTTCCTTTTCTCAGTAAGGGCTTCTTGACAGCTACACATCCTTTCAGACTCATAGCTCTGAGTTGTCTTCTTACAGTGGAAGGATGGACAGAAATTCAACAGTTATGACTTTTCTTTAACATATTTTACCATAAGAAGGTAAATAATACAAATGTTTTATAATAGTATGTTGCTGTATTATATTAGAGTTTCTACAAGCTCATTTGTTGCCACATTGTATGCCCAATGGAAGCCTTTGGGAGGCCATTTTGCCCAATACCTTACTTTAAAAGCACACATTAAATTAAAAAAACAGGTAATAACATTTTCAACAAACCCTACTGAACTATTTCTTTAAGCAACAACAGCTCTGTAGTCAATGTTCCCACCAAACTAGCCCCATACTTATAGTACATAAAAGCTCACGCCATGTTTGCTGTCCTTTATAAAGATGAATCTTATCTTCCTCATCACCTGGCTGGTTTAGAAGGAAGACTCATTTCAGAGTATAGTATATTTAGGTGAGGATGGTGGTTATGCCATTTTATATTTTGGTAAGTAGCGTATTAATAGCTTTTTTTCCATTTTTGGAATAATATGTAAATGTCACCAATTAAAATACGGCACCACGTGTTCACCAATTAGGTTAATTCAAATGAACGCATCCATTTTTATACTGTATGGTCACTGATCCATAACAACCAGACTTGGAATTCAAGCAGTGAGGTCACTGTATACACGGAAAACAAAACTACACTGTACATTCAACTCCGTCCTCATGTCGCTGAACAATAAGCATCACCAATTTGCACACAGTAGCCTAACCTGCCACGGTAGCATTCAGCTTCCCTGTTAACAAAGGGGGGTTTAAATTACAGCGCACTTCACACAGACCCCAGTTCATTTCAGCCCTGCATTTATGCATGAGGATGCGGATGGAGAAACTGATTTAGCTATCAATCTAGGCTAAAAAAGGCATCGATGGGTGTGATGTTCATAGAGTGGCTCTCATTCGGGGGTGGGGGGGGGTTATTAGCTCTTCATGGTCTTCTGTGTTGGGAGGGCATGCCTTGGGTAAAGGGTTTAAAGCGAAAAAACACGAAACAGCCAGCGAGATGAAGCGAGCTGCCCTGCCCGGGTTATTTTTAGCTCTCCACGGTTGCTTGGTTTTCAGTGCACGTTCAACATGCAGCAGAGAGACGAAAGGAGCGAGCCATGCGCGAGCCCTCATTCTCCTCTCTCTCCCCCTCTCTCTCTCTCTCTTCCTCCTCCCTCATCCTCCTCTTTCTCCCTCACTGCCACTGAGACCAAGCCGAACAGTCGCAGCCCCTCAGACAGGAGCGCACATCGGTAAAAGCCTGGACAAAATTTATCTACATCTTATGTACAGCTGCTTACCACCAGACATGGACAGTTGCGATGGTTGGTGAAGCCTGGGTGAGGGAAAGTTCGCGTGGCAGTGGTTCGAAGAGACATTCAAGAGAAGGGGAAGACGTAAAAGGGACCACATGCACCCTCAGGGCAACTGTTCGAGCTGGATTCATTTTACCTGGGAACTTGTTATAAATGATGACTGACAATATCCAGTATGAATCTGCAAATAAGTATGACAAGTAATTAATAGTAGGCTCAGTAATAGTAGTCATGTTCTAAACCGCTTTATGCTAATGAATGACAAAACCCAGTAATAGACAAGGCTGTGCGCCGTGTTGTTATTGTTATTGAGTGGGCGTCTATTGGTTGTGTACATTCAGGCTCTGACTTTTCAATCCAGGCTGCCTGTGGTAATTTGAGGACATTACACAGCTACTTTATCCCGTATGATAAAGTCAGAACAATTAAAATTTACATTAAGGAAGCTCCCCTGGTAAAGCTAATCCAGCTCAAATAGCGCTGTCTATTTGAATGGGATTGATATAACCTGGGGTTATGTCTACAGTCCGGATAAAAGCTGCCGGGAATGACAGATTCCGATGGGACTAAAATCACAGAGATACTATGGTAATAATTACATTACCACACTTCCCCTTGTAAAACGAATTCCATCAAAATAGTACATAAGCTGGAGGCGCTATTCCCTATGTAGCCGGATCTCTAAGCCGGTTACCAAACACTGCTGCCAAACATCAGACATCACTGGGTGTCCGGGCCCTTTGAGCCACACTGGCAGGGACGCAGCCGCAGCAGACCATCCATAGCGCCTTCTGGATCTCCTGGTTGCGGAAGGCGTAGATGACGGGGTTGATGACGGAGTTGTAGGTGGCGGGCACCAGCGTGGCATAGGTGTATAGCGGCGGATAGGTGTAGTCAGCCACGAGCGAGTAGACGGTGAAGGGCATCCAGCAGGCGGCGAAGGTTCCCAGGATGATGGCCAGTGTGGAGACGCCCTTACGCGTGGTGACGTAGTGCGGCGTGGCAGCCAAGAAGTGGTGTTGCAGGGCGATTTGGTGGGCGTGGCGCATGACGATTTTACAGATTTGCACGTAAAGTTGCAGCATGAGGCCGAAAAGCAGCAAGAAGGACACGGACAGCACGGCCACATTGTTCTTGGTGAGAGGCCACACCACGCTGCACGTGGCCTCCTGGCCCAGGCAGTTGACCCCTGTGACGGGAAGAACACCTAAACACAGCGAGACGCCCCACAGCAGCACCAGCATGGCATAGGTGAAGGCGGCTGTGCGCTCTGAGTTGTACGTGAGTGCGTAGTACAGCGACAGATAGCGGTCTATGGTGATGGCCAGCAGGCTGAAAACAGAGGCAGAGAAGGAGGCCACAACCAGGCCCACAGTCAGCAGCTGGGCAGATTCCGAACGCAGCAGGTAGGCGAAGGCAAAGTGCAGCACCAGGCCCACGCCAGCCAGGAGGTCAGCCAGTGCTAAGCTACCAATCAGGAGGAACATGGGTGCCCGCAGCGCCGGATTCTGCCAGATCACCAGCACCACCAGAGCATTCTCGCAGGCAATAAGGGTCCCCGAGGTGCACAGCACAATGTCCCACGGGTTCACCAGCACCTCGGGAGGAGGCTGCGGAGGCAGAACAGCTGCCGGAGGAGACGTCCCAACTGTGATGTTGTCCATGCTCCCGCCACCGCTGCTGACCCACGAGGGGTCAGGGGTCAGCCAGCCAGGGACGACCGACACCTCCTCACTCATTGTGCCTCCCGTCTGAAAGAAAACACAAATACAGGGTATACAGTATCAAGTTTATATATGAGGTTCCAACTGGAGGCACCTCTATGGCAGCAGGAGTAGCAGTAGTTGGAGTTCAGGCAGGCTGGTGATTTGGGGAGGTGAGGGTTCAAATCCCTGACTGGTTGTGCCCTTGGGCGAGGCACTTAACCCCCCCACTGCCCCAGATGGCACTGCACTGCTGGTGACGCTGTGCTGCTCCCAGACAGGGCAGAGTTAGACGGCCAAATGACAAATTTCCCTTGTAGGATCAATAAAGTATATAACATGAGATAGAAGACAAAAGAAGTGTACTGATATGGGAATTGTGGGCAAGTGCTGATATCCAATATGTTTCATGTCCATATCTGTTGATGCGGATACTGATATATAGACAGTAGAGACCAGGACTAAATCTGCCTTATAAAGATGTGTAATGCACTAAATATAAATGAATTAAAGACATTTTAGTGTAGTAACCCAGCATCAACTCAACATTCTGCTCTTAAGGAATACAATAAATGCATCAAATATGGGTTTGAAATATCATTCATATTCAATTATCTGTCTGATACCAAACATTTTTTGAAAATATTTTTCTGATTTTTTTGTAATTCTGATATCATTTTGCAGCCTTAAAATACGATGAAAATTCACAATGTTCATGTATTACAAAAAACAAACTACAAAACATCAAATCAAAAGAGAAAACAGCTTCAAGTCATTTAATTTTGAATTTTAAAAAATTGCTTTAAAAAAGTTTGATAGATAAAATTTTTTAAAGTAATTTAAAGCAATTTTCTTAAAATGTACAATTTACTATTAAAATACTTTCTGTCATAAAGAACAATATCAGTATGTTTAAAGTGCATGAAATGTAAAATCAGTTTGGTTTCACGTGAAGATATATTTATGCTGTAATCAATTTATCGATGAGTAATGACATCTCACAGTTGCTTGCTAAGTATGTGGTTAAAAATTAATACATTCTTCAGTTTGAAATGAAGAGCAGGTAGTATAGATAGTGATTTCTGTGTTTTTAAACCAGAAGTATAATTATGTATTATCCATTTGTATCTTTTAAATCAATGTTTTATTTATTTGTTGCTGTTCTTATGCACTATGCATGCTGCATTTTAAATGAAAATTAACCTGACAACTTCATTGTGACAAACCTGCAAAGTGATCCAGCTGTGGAGCACATTTACTAAACCTGAACCTGTTGCTTTAAATGTTGTGGCTAATGAACTTTATTGTGACCTCAGCCTCATAAAAGGTTACAACATGGAAAAAGGAACAACATTATTCAAAGTGAAGTATATTATCGTCAGTACACTTACTGTTAATACCATCATTATATTATTATCTTTACTCTTATCAGTGTTGTCATAATAATCCGATTAATCTTATTAATATTGTACAATAAGGGACCAGTGATAACAGGCCTTCTTCCTCCAGTGAATACAACCAGGGCCTATTATTACTGCTCTTTACCTCAGAGCTCTCCCTGATAGATTTAGCTTAAGGCCAACTCATCATCAAGGAAATAATGAATTTGATATCCCTATACAAATATACATATAATACATCTGTATAAATGCAAAGATGCAAAGAAATTTGAAGAGCTTACATGGAAAAGCAATTATAGCTCGATTTTAGCAAATGTAGACATGAATAATTCACATTCAGGTTCAGTCATGCACTCTTAAAAAGGATGGTCCTTCAGGGGTTCTTGAGTAAAGAGAACAGTTTTATATAGAACCATGTGTTCTATATAGAACCATTTCATGCTTAAATGGTTCTCTGCATGGTACAATGGTTCTTCAGACTGATGGAGAACGTGTTGTATATGGTTTTGTATAGAACCTTTTTGGAAATGGTTCTACATAATACCAAAAAGGGTTACAAGCTTGACGCTGCAACAATGGAAGAAAACTTTTTGGTACTATCTAGGACCATTTTATGGTGCTGTATAGTGTCAAAAGGGTTCTATATAGAACCTATATAGAACCTTTTTGAAAATGGTTCTGTAACAACAGAAGAACCCTTTTTTGGTACTATATAGAAGCATTTTCAAAAAAGTGGCTCTATATAGAATATTTCTGATGCTATAGAAAACCATAAAATGGTTCTATATAGTACCAAAAAAAGGTTCTTCTATTGTTACAAGCTACAAGCCCATTTTGTGGTTCTATATAACACCAAAAAAGGTTCTTCTACTGTTACAAGCTACAAGCCAATTTTGTGGTTCTATATAGCACCAAAAAAGGTTTTTCTATTGTTACAAGCTACAAGCCCATTTTGTGGTTCTATATAGCACCAAAAAGGTTCTTCTATTGTTATAAGCTTTACATCATAACAATAGCAGAACCCTTTTTGGTGCTATATAGAACTATTTTGAATAAGGTTCTAAAAAGAACCATATACAACATATTCTCTATCAATCTGAAGAAACATTTCACCATGCAAAGAACCATTTAAGTATAAAATAAACAGAAATGTTCCCTTTACTGAGGAACCGTTGAAGAACCATCTTTTTTTAAGAGTGTAGACATTCAGTCTCAGTCTTTTCAGCTTTCAGTCTTATCAGCTGTTTTACCTATCAGTAATATACATATAAATGAAGTAGAATATAATATAGCAGTATATAACACGTGCATGCATGTATAATCAGTGGGCGATTGGTCAGGCCTTGTACCAAGCATTCACATGTTTAATGAAGATACACCTTTGAAGACCAGCAGTGGTCAGCAGGAGCATTAGCCTCGTGTTAAGCAGCCTCGTGCTGGAGCACTGCTGCGCTGCACTCACGCAGAGATGAGACTGAAAGCTCCTGCGAGTCTGACTCCATTACATGTAAGACCTGCATCTTCGACAGATCTTTCAGTCAGTCAGTCTGTGCTTAGCCTGCTGAGCCTGTGGAAACCAAGTGAACGCATCCTTACAGGCATCCATTCTCCCCCCTTTCCTCTAAAGCCCCCAGCTTCCAGCCCACCAGCCCCACACCACCCTACCTTTGCTCGTGAGGTGGCCGGTTAGATGCCCTCTTTAGCTCGGTGTCTCTCCATGATGCGGTTGGTCCCGTTTCCCTCACGGCTAGCAGCGCGAGCCCGAGTGCACGAGCAACGTCGCCGCCTGCACGCGCCTGCGGGGAAGGGAGGAGGGAGGAAGGAGGAGGTGGGGGGCGGTAGAGGAGGGAAGGGGGGTGGAACTGGCCTTATCTCCAGAAGGGACCTGTTCGGTAAGAGCTCCACCGTCACCTTGTTGTTGGAAGACGAAACCGGTGGCAAAAATGCGCGTGCACACTCACATATGCACGCGCCTAGACGAGAGAGAGAGAGAGAGAGAGAGAGACTGACTGACTGACTGACTGACTGAGGAGCTGAGGCGGGGGTGGGGCGGTCAATATAGCATTCAATTCACCCCCTGATTCACTCTTAACTACTTAACTAAAACCTCTTAACACATTTTAGCCCCTTTCTAGCCTGAAATACTAGAAAGAGATGCTATCTCATTAATTTGAAATACTAAATCATTATTTTTAGATACTAAGTCATTATTTTTAGATATTAATTTGAGATACTTCCTCATTTTGAGATACTAAGTCATTATTTTTAAATACTGTCATTATTTTAAGATCTCGTTTTTTTGAGATATTAAGTCATTATTTTGAGATGCTGTCATTTTGAGACACTCATCATTGTGAGATGCTAAGTCATTATTTTGAGATCCTATCTTATTATTTTGAGACGCTGTCATTGTTTTTTAGATATTAATTCATTATTTTGATATATTTGAGGTGCTACATCATTTTGAGATACTAAGTCATTGTTTTTAGATACTAACTCATTATTTTCAGATATATTCTCATTTATATTTATCTATATTTACAACCCCATTTCCAAAAAAAGTTGGGATGCTGTGCAAAATGTAAGTAAAAAAACAAAATGCAATGATGTGCAAATCATTTAAACCCTATGTTTCATTGAAACTAGTACAAAGACAACATATTAAATGTTGAAACTGAGAAATCTTATTGTTTTTTGAAAAATATATGCCCATTTTGAATTTATTGCCAACAACAAGGGAACGGGGGCCTTTTTGTTTACCACTGTGTTTCATCACCACTTCTTTTAACAACACTGTAAGCGTTTGGGAACTGAGGAAACCGACTGCTGTAGTTTTGAAAGTGAAATGTTTTCTCATTCTTGTTTGATACAGAATTTCCGCTGCTCAACAGTTCAGGGTCTCTTTTGTTGTGTTTTTCATTTTATAATGCGCCAAATGTTATCAGTGGTGACAGGTCTGGACTGCAGGCAGGTCAGTTTAGCACCCAGACTCTTTTACTACAGAGTCATGCTGATGTAATACATGCAGAATGTGGTTTGGTACTGTGTTGCTGAAATAATCAAGGCTTTCCCTGAAAAAGACATTGTCTGGATGGCAGCATATGTTGCCAAAACATGTATGTATCATTCAGCATTAATGGTGCCTCACAGATGTGCACGTCACCCATACCATGTGCACTAATGCATCCCTATACCATCATAAATACTGGCTTTTGAACTGTGCACTGATAACAAGCTGAGTGGTCTTTAGCCCGGAGGACACAGTGTCCATGATTTCCAAAAAGAATTTCAAATGTTGATTCGTTGGACCACAGGACACTTTTCCACTTCATCTCAGTCCTTTTTAAATGAGCTCGGGCCCAAAGAAGGTGGCAGAGTTGCTGGATCCTGTTTATATCTGGTTTCTTCATTGCATTATAAAGTTTTACTTGCATTTGTGGATGCAGCGACAAACTGTTTTCATAGACAGTGGTTTTCAGAAGTGTTTCTGAGCCCATGCAGTGTTTCCACTACAGAATCATGTCTATTTATAATGCAGTGCTGCCTGATGGCCCAAAGATCACGGCCAGCAAATACTGTTTTTTGGCCTTGTCCCTTACATACAGAGATTTCTCCAGATTCTCTGGATCTTTTAATGTTGTTATGTACTGTAGATGATGAAAAGCAAAAGTTCTTTGCTATTTTACATTAAGAAACGCTATTCTTGAATTGTTGCACTATTTGATCATGCAGTCTTTCACAGAGCGGTGAACCGCTCCTCATCTTTACTTCTGAAAGACTCAGCCTCTCTGGGATGCTTTTTTATACCCAAACAAGATACTGACATGTTGCCAATTAATCACCAGGTGTTTTTTTAGCATTACACAACTTTACCAGTCTTTTGTTGCCCCTGTCCCAACTTTTTTGAAATGTGTTGTTGGCATCACATTCAAGATGATTTTTCCAAAAACAATAAAATTTCTCAGTTTCAATGTTTGATATGTTGTCTTTGTACTATTTTCAATGAAATATGGGCTTTAAATGATCTGCATATCATTGCATTTTGTTTTTATTTACATTTTGCACAGTGTTCCAACATTTTTTGGAGATGGGGTTGTATATTTATTTGTATTTTTATCTCAAAATAGTGATTTAGTATCTAAAAACAACGACTTAGTATCACAAAATAATGACTTCACATCTCAAATTATGTGTCTGCCGGCTTTCATTGCAACAAAGCATGAGCACAAGTGGAATCAGGTGTGCTTCTGCTTGTTTGGAATGGCCACACTGTCCCTTTGCAGATAAGACTGGACACCCCTGTGTTAAGCTAAGCAAAGAAAAAGAAAATGCACCTACATTTTCAGAAAATGCCATAAATTAGTTCCCTGTAGAGAATAAGAAACTTATTTTCACTTAGAAAATCAACAAAACATGCAACCGGACCAGGGGTGTTGCATGTATATCCACTTGTTCAACCTACAACAGTTTAGACCCGCTCATTTATATTGAAGCTATAAGTGTTTCAGCCTGGAGCACTTTTTGAATGAAGCGCAATGCAGGGCAGCCAATCATAACAGAGGCTATTTACATACATTAGTCTTAAAGGCACAGTAACAAAAACAGCCTGTTTAATCACAAGGTTTAAAGAGAGATTGGAAAATGTAAAAAGTCATGTGAAAGTGGATTATGGCTGTTTTGGTGCATTAAACCAACACAACTGTGATTAGTGAACTTCAAAGGAATAAAATAAAATATTTGAAAAACTTATAGAATATAAGCCCTTGAAGTATTGAGTCTATTAGCATATGAGCTGAAGTGTGTGAGGCTGGTTCTTCTCTTTTTGAGGAGCGAGAAGTGTGAACCGCAGTGAAGCAGTCTAAATGCTAAGAAAACAAAACAGTGTGAAGTTAAAGCTAAAAAAGGAATTAGGAACTAAATGTTAATGACTAAAATGGAAGTGAGGAAAAAGTACATTCCTCACAAATACAGTACTGTGCAGATATAGAGAAAGTCAAAGGAAAATAGTAAAAAAAAAACTGGAGTTTATGGGAAAGAATATGGGAGTCCTATCCACCGTGCAAGACCTGTTAGACCACCAAAACTATCCCCATCATATAAACAGTACTAAAGCTTTTTATCTTTGAGAGATAATCAAGTTCCACTGTTGCTTCAGATCTGAAAATAGTCTTTGTGGTCTTTTGCACAGTGCTGTATACTCGAGCAGAAGTAAAAGCATTAGCATCTGAAAATATTTATTAGCACAAATTGTGCTTGGAGCAGAGTGAATGGCACTAGTTTCTGGCCACTTCAGCTAGGTAGTGCTCTAGGTTTCAGCATGGCAGTGTGTGTCTGGCTGAGCGTTTTTGCTAAAGTCGAGCATCAGATTGCATCTTCCCTGAAAGTTGCTCACTTCACTGCTCCCCTGTGACTGCTATTCTGAGACTGAGCTATTAACAGCATGCTGATCTGTGTCATCCTCTTCCCCCCCACTGTCATCCCGCTTTCTCCTCCTTCCCTCCATCCTCTGAAAGCCTTAGACGCCCTGCGTCTATCTCCACCCTTCTGTCTGTTTAGACTCCATGCACCAGAACATGTCGCAGATCTACACATTCTGCGCCTCTCAGAGCGTCTACAGATCAATATGATCACAGACTCTGAACAGGTAAAACAATACATGCTCCTGACACACACACCCTGCTGTGTACTTCACAAATCTGACTTCACCTTGTCCGATTAAACAGTCAAGCAAAAGGCATAAAATGCATTTAATTATTATTATTGTCATCATTAAATTGACTCTACTTATGCAGAAACACTTTGATGACGCTTTGTAACCTTTTGCACACAGCCTTGACATACACTCTTAAAAAGATGGTTCTTTAAGGGTTCTTTAGTAAAAAACATCTATATTCTATCTAATTATATATAGAACCATGAACGCTCAAAGAGCCCTTTGCATGATTCTTTGCATGGTGAAATGGTTCTTCAGATTGGAGGAGAATGTGTTGTATATGGTTCTACATAGAACCTTTTTGAAAATGGTTCTATGTAGCATGAAAAAGGGTTTTTGGTGCTATATAGAACCATTTTATGGTTTTATACAGCATCAAAAAGGTTCAATATAGAACCACTTGAAGGTTCACTATGTAGAATCTTTTGAAAATTGTTCTACATAGCACCAAAAAGGATTCTTCTACTGTTATAAACTACAGACCCATTTTATGGTTCTATATAGCACTAAAAAATGTTATTCTATTGTAACAAGCTTGACATCAGAACAATAGCACAAGTCTTTTTAGTTCTATAGAGAACCCCTTTAAAAAAGTTCTATAAAGAACCATCTATAACACATCCTCCATCAATCTGAAGAACCCCTTCACCATGCAAAGAACCTTTTAATCATGCAAAGGGTTCTTTGAGTGTTCATGGTTCTATGTAGAAACAATTTTCTTTACTAAAGAACCTTTTATGGTTTTATACAGCATGAAAAACATTCTATGTAGAACCATTTTTTCAAAATGGTTCTTCTATTGTTATAAGTTACAGGCCCATTTTAAGCTTCTGTACAGCACCACAAAAATGTTTGTCCATTGTTACAAGCTTGACATAACAATAGCAGAACATTTTTTGGTGCTATATAGAAGTCTTTTCAAAAAGGTTCTATATAGAACCATATACAACACATCCTCCATCAATCTGAAGAAACATTCACATGCAAAGGGTTCGTTGAGTGTTCATGGTTCTATACAGAACCATTTTC